AAAAAGAGTACTGGACTTGTGTGATTTGCTTCTGGCCTCCATGATTTCTGAAGAGAAATCCACTGACATTTTAAATTGTTTTTTTTTCCAGTAGGTAAATTATTGTTTTTCTCTTGTTGCTTTTCAAGTTTGCTTTACACTTAGTTTTCTGAAGTTTGATTATGATGTGTTTTGGTGTGGATTTCTTTGAGTTTATCATGTTTGAGATTTGGTCAGATGCTTGAACCTCTAAGTTTATGTCTTTTGCCAAATCTGGGCATTTTGCTGCCATTATTTCTTGAGTTTTTTTCAGTCTCATCCTCTTACTGCTATCCTTCTGGGTTTCCAATGACATGCCTCTTAGGTTTTACAATCGGTTCCACATAACTCTAAGGTTCCCCCCAATGCAAAGTCTATTTTCTCACTATTGTTCAGATTGAGTAATTCCTAATGTTCTAGCTTCAAGTCCACTGGTTCTTTCCTCTATCTTCTCCAACCTGTTGTTGAGTCTGCCCACTGACTTTTTTAGTTTGGTTACTGTAGTCTCCAGTTCTATTTGATTCTTCATTATATCTCTTCTTTCCTTGCCAAGCTTTTCTTTTTTTTATTTGTTACAACCTTGTTTGTAATTATTCATTTCGGTGTTGGTGTCTGATTCTGTCTTGTTCAAGTAGATCTCCTGCTCTTCAAGGTATGATGCTTTTCTATTGCATCCTAGGAATTTTGGGATAATGTATTTTTAAGACTCTGGATTTCACAGAAATCTTTTGTTTTGGGTAGGCTTCTTCTAACATCACTGCCATCAGAGGAAGGGGCCTGGTTATTGCCAGGTAGATGTTCAAGTTTAAGAGCCCCTTGGCCTTAGTGAGGTGGGGGCTCCTCCCTACTACTGGGCTGGATGGAAGTTCCTGCTCCTTACAGGCCTCCACTGATGCCTTCCTAGCTGGGGGGATCGAAGCGCCTCTTACTGCTCCTCAACTTGGCTGCCATTAACAGCACACAGGCAGGAGGTGGGGGAAAGGTTGGGGAGGGGAGGAAGAGGGGGCAGAAGCTCCATTAATGCTCCATTGTGGTTAAAGTCCTGATTTTCCACGAGGCCTCCTCTGACCATCTGAAAACACCCAAGAGGAAGGGCAAAATGTGTTCTCCATAGCAGACACTTAATATACAGGGGGACAGGGCAGTGTGTGCTGGGAGCCTTGCCAGAGTTGAAAATCTGGGTTCCCTGCTTGGCCTTTGCTGTCTTCAGGTTTGTTTTTTCCCCTCCTGTGGTGTTTGGTTGCAGTGGGGCAGTTATTGTCTATGATTTTTCTATCTGGATACGCTGATCTTGTGACCAGGAGAGCAGGTTTTTACTAGAGTATATTTTCATCTGTGCCCAGTGGCATTTTTTTAAGATTTATTTATTTTACTTGAAAGTCAGAGTTACACAGAGAGAGGAGAGGCAGAGAGAGAGAGAGAGAGAGAGAGAGAGAGAGAGAGAAAGTCTTCCATCTGCTGGTTCACTCCCCAGTTGGCTGCAACGGCCAGAGCTATGCCAATCCGAAACTAGGAGCCAGGAGCTTCTTCCAGGTTTCCCACGCAGGTGCAGGGGCCTAAGGACCTGGGCCATCTTCTACTGCTTTCCCAGGCCATAACAGAGAGCTGGATAGGAAGTGGAGCAGCCGGGAATTGAACCAGCGCCCATATGGAATGCCGGCACTGCAGGCTGGGGCTTTACCCACTACGCCACAGCGCTGGTGCCCCACCCGCCCCCAGTGGCATTTCTAGACCACCAAATTCTCCAGCATCCAGTCTGGGATGTATGAGGGTTTGAATGAGAAAACCTAGGGAAAAGACCACCAGGAATTCAGATCACTGGGGGTTCTCACCAATCTTCTCTCTTCTCTTTCTTTCAAAGTCTTCTTGGGCTGGTTTTACATATAACATCCAGGGTTTTAGCTTCATCTAATGGGAAAAACAAAAAGGAGTATTATTTTTCCCCCTGATGGTGTCATTTATTTCATTCCTCTCCACCCTATATTTACTATAAACTGGAAATTAGGATTGAGGAGATCTGAAACAGGTGGGAGAGTACCAGGAGATGAGATGAGAGATTTAATAGGGAACCAGACTGCGTACGGCCTTGTAAGTCATTATAAGGATTTTGGCTTTAATCTCAGTAAGATAGTGAGTTATTGGAGGGTTTTGTGCAGAGAACTGACATGCTGTGACTTGGGTTTAGCAGGATTGGTCTGGCTTCTTTGTGGACAATAGGCCACAGAAGACAACGATGGAAGTAGTAAGACCAGTCAGGAGGCTACTGAAGTGACGGGAAGCTGACAGGTGATTGTGGGTTGGACCATGAAAGATGCAAGTGGCACTGGAGGTGATAAGAAGTGGTTGGATTCCGGATGCATTTTTTAAGGAGAGTGACAGGATTTGCTTACATATGGGCTATTGAGTATAGTTCCAACTATTTTGGGCCATGGCAACTGGAAAGGTGAGATTGCTATTGACTGAGATGAGGACACTTTAGGAGGGGTCGTTTTGGGGAAAAAAGATCAGGTATTCGGATTTGGACTGTTGCATTTGACATGTTAGACACCCACATGGAGATGGACACAGGCCCTTCCATCAAAGTGTTCAAAGTTAGGGAAATGGAAATGTGGGAGCAGATCGTTACAGTACCCTTTGAAGAAAGCTGTCAACTTCACTCGTGTATGTGAGATGGGGGTGGGGGCTAAAGAAGGTGTTCACAAAGGAGAGGCCATTCAGTTTTGTACAGTGGTTGCTTCATCAGATTCAGTCACTGCGCAAACTTGGGCATTAACTTATCTGTGACTCAACTTCTTTATCTGTGAAATGGAAAGAATCCTAATGTCTGGGGGAGGACTAAATGCAGAACACAGTACACTACCTGGTACCTAATGGGTTAGTGTTAATCTAATAATGAATAACCTGCTGAATGAGTGCATATTTTTCTTGATGACCAAATATAGGCTAGGCCGGGAATCCACTCTTTTGTATGCTCAACAGTTTGTCAAGAGAATGCTAGACTCCTGTCTCCATACTCAAAGTGGCTCAGGAAAACAGGTCCCTACAGCCCTCTAAACTGCTTTGATCAAGGAACAAGCATTGGGATGGATAGAGTGAAACTGGTCCTCCTTTGCCTCCCTCCTCTCCTCTCCCCTCGGCTTCCTCCCTCCATCCCTCCCTGTTTTCCTTCCTTTTTCATTTTGTAATGAGTCTGAGTAAAATCCGTCCAGATTCATAATAAGCTTCTCCCTACCCCGCAGGCTCTCTGACACTCAGAATGGACTGGGTTGACAAGCCTGGGAGGAAGTCAGCAACACTGAGGCGCTTTGACACTTCACAAGGGAACCACCCCCCCCCACCCCCCCATCCAACGGCTCCGGCTCCAGCCCGAGGCCCCAGGGAGATAGGCGCCCCCTACGGGCGGAAAGCAGCCTCACGCCCCTGCAGGCGGCTGTGGTTGCTAGGCGACCAGGCGGCCTGCGCAGAGACCGAAGCGGTGGAGGATTTCCGTCAGGGATTTGCAAGGAGGGAGACCATTTCTCTCTCCTTCCACCGCCTCTCCCGCGCCCTCAGCAAACAGACGGAGTTGGGGCGGCGTGGCCCGCTGCTGTCTCCTAGGCTCAACTCATTCTTGAAAATACAGCCTCCTCGGGTGACCTCAGTCTGTGTGTGGAGCAACGTGAAATGTGGGGGCCTCAGTCCCGGGTGGCTGAAGGAAGACGTTTGTGGTTTGCAACGGGTGGGGAGGGAGGAGAAGGGGCATTGTCGTGGGTTGCATCCTTAGTCAACAGGAATTCTAGCAAATTGGGTATGAGTGGGAATGATTTAGGTAATTACTCCGGCAAGGTATCACGATTTTCCCAGCATTCCCAATGTATGCATTAGGAAATTCCTACTTGTGCTCATTAAAATAAAAAGAGCCCACGGGAATGACAATATACAAGGGATCAGTCACACCTCAGTGGCTTTCCTGAATTGGGTTTCTCTACAAAGAAGGGCGAGATCTTGAGGTCTGTGGACCCCTATAAGGACAGAACCCAACAAGAAGGAAAGATATCAGAAGAATGGGAGGGAGTGACACACAGACTCTTGCTGCTTGCTAGCTCTGTGTCTGCTTTGGGGATCTTCGACTCTGATCTTTCTGAAGCACACCATCTTTTTTTTATGACTTTTAAAATTTTATTTGAAAGGCAGAGTTATAGAGAGAGGTCTTCCATCTGCTGGTTCACTCTCCAAATGGCTGCAACGGCCGGAGCTGCGCTGATCTGAAGCCAGGAGTCAGGAGCCTCTTCTGGGTCTTCCACATGGGTGCAGAGTGGGCCATCTTCCACTGTTTTCCCAGTCCATTAGCAGAGAGCTGGATCAGAAATGGAACAGCCGGGACTCGAACCAGCACCCATGTGGGATACCAGCACTGCAGGCTGTGGCTTTACCAGCTATGCCACAGCGCCAGCCCTGAAGAACCCCATTTTTAGGAGGGTCTTTGGGGGCCAGAAATCCACAGTTTTTTCCCCCAGCAACTTCACATTCTGGCCCAGGAGCAGGCCTAGGCAGGCCAAGGCCATGGCCACAACAAGCTGACCACTTGGGATGGCTCTCTTCCCTCTCAGCTAGCTCAACAGAGACGCCTCACGGTGGCACAGCCCCAAGCCATGGCAAGCTTAGGGCAGAGCTGTGCCCAGGAGTCTCCTCTTGGGCTTTCCCTCAAGAGTTCCAAGGTAGCAATAGCAGGCGGAGGTAACCGGCAGCCAGAGAGCATCTGGCCAGCCAGCCGCTGGCTGAGTGCACAACATCTCCACAGGGCAGGATGGCAGGGGCAGGCTCCCTGCTCTCTGTTTCCAAACTGAACTGGGTCGGGGCTGTGCCTCCGCTCTATTAATAGCCCCCTAACCCAGCCTGCTAGCCCCAAACCCGGATGCCAGGAGCTGTGAGTCAGCAGCTAAAAATATCGGAGAGCAACTGCACCCGAACCCCAATGAGCAGCTCCCCCTGGCCCTCCGCCTTCAAGTTTGTCAGTCTCAGTTTTCACTTCAGGGACCCATAGAGGTTAAGTGCGCTATAGCTATCCAGTCCTCCTGGGAAGAGAGCGAGGTGGCCACCTAAGGGCTGGGTACCCAAGGCCAGGGGCTAGGAGCAAGGGCTTAGGGGCTGGGCGCCGGCATTTGGGACGCTCAGGTTAAAGGACTGCAGCTGAGGGCCTGGGAGCTGGGAGGCTGGGGCTGCGGGGGTGGAGATGCTGGATGCGGAGTCTGGGATGCGGTGGGGAGGGGGAAGGACGAGGCTGCAGGGCTGCGAGGTTGGGCGATTGGAGCTGGGACAGGGATGGGGGTGGCGGTACGTGCAGAGCGGTGAGAGCCCGGAGCTGAGGTCGGTGGTGGGCCTGCCTGAGGGGCGGGATCAGGAAACGGGAAAAGTAAGACAAATACAGCTTGAAAAGACGATATGTGGACATCTATCCCGGACAACGCGGCATGGACCCTGCGGTCTCTCGCGGTGCGCCTCCAGCCTCCTCGCGCGTCGCCCGCCCCGCCAGCTGCAGGCCAGGTATGTTGGCGTGGAAAGCCGCCTGAGTCCGTGTGTGCAAGTGTGTGCGTGGAGGGGCGGGGCGGCGCGCGAGGGGAAGGGGCGGTGTCCGCGAGGAGGCGGGGGCGGGAACACAAATTCAAACGCGTCTCTGTCGACTGGAGACCGGAAATGCCCAGGGGCATGCTGGGGATTGTAGTTCCCGTGGCGGCCTTGCATCCCAGGGTTAGGGTCTTGTCCCGAGGTGCCAGTGTTGCCCCAGGTCCCAGTCTAGAGAGAGAGGAGGAATCGAGAACCGAACCTCCTGCCCTTGCCAGCGCCTTAATTCAATATCCCTTGGTGTGGAGACTGGAACCACGGCGGATGCCAGAGCGGGGCGGGGGAGGGACTGTGGATTCAGACAGTTAGCCCCCCCTCCCCGTCCCCGTTTTTGCCTTGGTCCCTCACCCCTTCTACTCATCCTAGGCCTACTCTGCACTGGCCACCTCAGTTGCTTAGCCCAGGGACTCACGAGCAGCAAATACCAGTATCCTGGGGCATTTTGCTCCTCTAGGAGAGCTGGGTGGGCCAGAACTCAGACCCTGCGCACAGCCCTGAGCGAAAACTTGCCCTCACAGACCGGAGTCAAGGACCCAAGTCCCCAGCCGGCAAGGAATACAGGTGGCATTCAACAAAGACGTCACGGTGACGACGGGTGCGGCCTCCCTCTTGGGGGGCAGGTGACCACAAGGTGGAGCTACAGTGCAGCCCTGCACGGCGCGCCTGGGCCATTGGCAACGCCCGCGGTGGCAGCAACTCTTCAGTTGGCCTCCTGCAGTCCTTCCTTGCCACAGGTGGTTCCCCTGCCACCCATCCCCGAATCTCATAGGGTGACCCCCTCCGCATCCTGTCCCATCCAACCAAAGATGGAAGGTGCACCCTGCTCCCAAGCCCAGCGCAGAAAAGATCAGACCGTGACCAAATTGGAATTCAATTCATTGAGTGACAGATTAACAGGCAAGATACAGGAGCCAACATGTCTTAAAGAAAGTCTGTGTGCAGCAAAAAGCCACCTGTAGGCACAGAATTACATGGCTTGATGGGCTCTTTAGCTCCTAGCCTCTAGGCAGGAAAGTAGCTACGCCTTGAAGGTCAGGGGAGACAATGCATGGAGGGCAGCCCGTGTCACCATCCTGTCATCTCCGTGAATCACTGGTCGCAGCTGACCCACTGCGACACACCCTGTACCTTCTACGCCACAATGTTTGCACACAAAATTGGAGACATCGTCTTGGCACTCTCTTTCCCTTTTACTTCCTCATTCTAGTTTCCATTTAGGAGAAACTTCTCATGACTCACTTGTCTTTGCAACCACTTCCAGTCAGAACTCCAAAGGGAACAGATTCCGTGGCAGCTTTGGGGGGAGGGGGGAGGGAGGAGGGAGGACAGGTTGGCAGAGAGCCCTCATGGTTTGAAGTCTCCTGCTGCCAAAGTTCCCCACCCTGGGGAACTGGCACCCAGTACCCCCTAGACGATGCACATCAGTCACTCTCCCTCCCTTGCTGTTGACCAATGCAGACAGGCCTTGGGCTTGAGCAGGCAGAGGTGGGTCAGGGTCACTCCCTTGCAAAATTGTTGATCCTGGTTAGTAGCACGTCTGTTTCTAATCCTGGAAAGGGAGAGAGAGGGTGGGTCATATGGGAAGTGAGCAAGCAGAAGGCTAGAGGAGGTGAAAAACAGGTGGGGATGGGGGTGTGTGAGTTCTTACCAGTTCTCTCTCTCTCCTTTGCACACCTCCTAGAGGAAGAAAAGCTTCCTATCATGAGTTCAACCAGCTTCAAGTAGTACCTTCTGACCCGAGAGCGCCCTCAAACTGCCTTTCCCAGGTGCTAGGGGAATTTGGTGGTATAAAGCAGAGCCGAAGAATCTCCAAAGGAAAGAACCAGTGACCAGACTGCAAGCGCCAGGCAGCATGTATGAGTCTGAATGACTCTCATCAGCCTGGGGAAGGAAAAGACCCAGAAAGCTGAGACACAAGATGCTCACCCGTGCAGGAGGAAGATCCATAAAAACAGCAGGATGGAGACGCAATTGGTGATGTTCCACATCATTAGGTAGGTTTGAGGGGGCTGTGGGAAGAGGAAAAGGATGCCGTGAGTGGCCAGGGCCCTAGGGGTAAAGTATGGGGTGTTGAGGGGGGGATAAATAATAAAAACAGGGCTAGGGTCAAGGAGAATCAGAGATGGGAGAAGCAGCGCAGCAGTGGCGGTTCCAGGGTGCTTACAATAAGCCAGACAGGGTAATGCATCTGCTGCAGCAGTTGGCAGTCGTTGGTGGTGACTGAGTCGACCCCTGCACACCAGAGCAGGGAGAAGAGCCAGGCCTTGTTCACGACAAATAGGTTCACTGAGACATTATCCTGGTGCAGTGCCCTGTGGAGGTGGGAAAAGCACAGGCAACATCCAGAATCAGGGGGCAGGAGGCGCCGGAGGGAGGCAGCTGGCACGGGGGCATCCGTTGTACCTTTGCATAGCGGCCCCTGGTGGAAGGTGGTTTCTTGTGTGCAGCTGAACTCTGCCTTCCAAGGGGCTCCCACCCACAGGCCCTAGCTTTGCTGTCTGGGGCCACACAAATGTGACTCTCCTCTTTGTCCTGGGACTGCCCATCAGAGACCACTGCTCTGGGGTCGGCGCCGTGGCACAGTAGGTTAATCCTCCGCCTTCGGTGCTGGCATCCCATATGGGCACCAGTTCTAGTCCCGGCTGCACCTCTTCCCATCCAGCTCTCTGCTGTGGCCTAGGAAAGCAGTGGAGGATGGCCCAAGTGCTTGGGCCCCTGCACCCACATGGGAGACCAGGAAGAAGCACCTGGATCCTGGCTTCAGATTGGCGCAGCGTGCCGGCGTAATGGCCATTTGGGGGGTGAACCAACGGAAGGAAGACCTCTCTGTCTCTCCGTCTCACTGTCTGTAACTCTACCACTCAAATAAATAAATAAAATCATTTTTTTAAAAGAGACCACTGCTCCGAGTCTTCCCTTCTCCACCATCAGTTCCTTCAATGATTACTCTTGGGACTGGGGTGATTATTTCCTTCCCCATAAAACCCTCCCTAATGTGATCTTCATTTATTTTTTTTAAAAAGATTTTATTTATTTATTAGAGAGACAGAGCTACAGAGAGAGGGAGAGCCAGAAAGAAAGATGTTCCATTCACCGCTTCACTTTCCAAATGGCTGCAACAGCTGGAGCTGGGCTGATCAGAAGCCAGGAGCCAGGAGCTTGGGTGCAGGGGCCCAAGCACTTGGGCCATCTTCCACTGCTTTCCCAGGCCATCAGTAGGGAGCTGGATCAGAAGTGGAGCAGCCGGGACCCAAACCAGCGCCCATATGGAATGCTGGTGCCGCAGGTGGAGGCTTAACCTACTGTGCCATAGCACCGGCCCCTCTAATGTGATCTTACTCCAACTCATCAATGTTCCTTTAAAAATATGGGGCCTGCCTCTGCACCTCATTTCCCACATAGGCTTGGACTCGCTTTGAGCGGAACACAACTCTTTTCTGCTGCCTCCTGGACAGTAGGCCTGTATGAAGGCAGCCCAGTCGGGTTAGTCTTCGATGATGCTACATGCCCTTAGGATTCACTAGACCTATTGTTCAATCCAAGCGCTGGTATTTTTCATACACATTTCTGCCAATGCCCATGTCTCCACTCTTGTCTTTGTGCAACTAGAAACTCTTTTGGGTCCCCAATACAGGTCTTCGCACCTATCCCTGTTTCATTTGATCTTTGGGCGCCTCCATTCCATCATCAGTGTGTTGCTGATCAATTCCCATCTTTTAGAAACACGATCAGCACCTTGTTGTCCAGGACAGAGCTAAGGTGAGGGCTAAACTCTAGGCCATGTCTCCCTCCATGATGATAGCTTGGAAAAAGATCTTTGAACTACTTAGGATAAGTCGGCTGTCATTCAGTTCACATTTTTCTATCTGACCACAGGGACATTATAAGAGACCCTGGGGATCCCACAGCTTCAAGTCCATTATGTTTACTTGGTCAGCTTCTGCAGCCCAGCTCTCATCTGGAACTCTCTCTTCACTGGCTCCATTCTCTCTTACACCTATCTCTTTGGTGTAGAACAAAAACTAAAGTCTTTCTCGTGGCCTATAAGGTCCTATCCAATTCGATCCCTATTTCTCTGGTCTCATCTTCCTCTTCTTCATCAGGCTGCTGCTCCTGCCCTTCTGCAGCTCTGCTCGTGGTTAGCTCCTCGTGACAATTCAGGTCAGACGTCACCTTTTCAACCACTCTTCCTAATGTAGCTATACCCCCGACTCCTGCCCTCCACCCAGCCCCTGGCTCCCAATCCCAGTCACACTAGTTCAGATCCCCATTTGGTCTTTATAACACATATCACTATCCAACATATGAGGGGGTCTTTGAAAAAGTCATGGAGAATACATATGATGAATGTGCTTCCAAAAGTTTTGCACCAATGGGGACTGGCGTTGTGGTGCAGCAGGTTAAGCCACTAGTTATAATGCTGGCATATACCATATACCACACCAGAGTGCCAGTTTGAGTCCCAGTTGCTCTGCTTCTAATGCAGCATCCTTCTAGTTCACCTGGGAAGGCAGCAGATGGTCTCCCAGGTGCTTGGGCCCCTGCACCCCTATGGGGGACCTACATGGAGTTCCTGGCTCCTGATTTTTTTTTAATTTTTATTTATTTATTTATTTATTTATTTATTTATTTGACAGGCAGAGTGGACAGTGAGAGAGAGAGACAGAGAGAAAGGTCTTCCTTTGCCGTTGGTTCACCCTCCAATGGCCGCCGCGGCCGGCGCGCTGCGGCTGGTGCACCGCGCTGATCCGATGGCAGGAGCCAGGAGCCAGGTGCTTTTCCTGGTCTCCCATGGGGTGCAGGGCCCAAGCACCTGGGCCATCCTCCACTGGACTCCCTGGCCACAGCAGAGAGCTGGCCTGGAAGAGGGGCAACCGGGACAGAATCCGGCACCCCAACCGGGACTAGAACCCGGTGTGCCGGCGCCGCTAGGCGGAGGATTAGCCTAGTGAGCCGCAGCGCCGGCCTCCTGGCTCCTGATTTTGACCTGGCCCAGCCCTGGCTATTGTGGCCATTTAGGGAATAAACCAGTAGATGGAAGATCTCTCTCTCTCTCTCTCTCATGTTCTGCCTTGCAAATACATAAATAAATATTTAAGTTATTTTGTGCCAAAAATAAATGTATCTTTGAATTCCATTTTCCATGAACTTTTTGGGGTACCCTTGCCTGTGTGTTTTGTCTGTGTCTTTCACTAAGACATAATCCCACAAAAGCAGAGAGCTTGTCTGTCTTACTCACGTCGTGTCCCGACAGCCTGATCCACGGCAAGTGTTCTACAAGCATCTGCTGTATGAGTGAATGACTGACTGAAGGAATAGCCTTTGCCGGCCCTGCACTGTGACCCCCTCCATTCCTCTCCCTGAGCACTCACTTGATATCCAAGAGTGGCAGATCTTGATAAGGGAGGTTAAGAAACTGGGGCCTCTCTGTTCTATTGCCTCCCTGATGTCCATATATCTGGCGCATTCTGGGTGCCCGTTGTTGGACGTTAGCCCGATCTTCATCTGGTAGCCAAAGAACCTGTGGTTGAGGAAGGACGGGCATGAAGGATTCTAGGGCAGGGGGCAGAGAGGTTTGACCACAGTATGGGGGATGGGAGTTGGGGCAGGGCACTGGGGCAAGGCAAAGCCTCAACAAGGATCATGGCTTAGGGAAGGCGGAGCAGGCAAAAAGGGGGCCCCTGGGAGGTTCTGGTAACATCACCATGGCTTGGGGCACCCTTGCACTCAGCACAGTCTCCAGGGTCTGATTGACGAAAGTGTCATAATATGTGTGATTCCGTGGGGGTCGGCGCAAGTCAAACATGATGGACAGGTTGAGGGCTGCGGCTTCCTTCAGTAGCTCCTCTAGCGCTGGTACCATCTGATTCTCAGCCTCTTTGCGATCGGGGCCGGACAGCTGCTTGGCACCCCAAAATGGTTTCCTCTGGAAGAAAAGAAAATTATTTCAAAATCAGACAAAGTCTCCAGGCCATCTTTCCATCCCCCACCATCTTCACTCATGCCCCGCCCCCCAACTTGATGTCCAGCTTCTGGCCAATACCATTCTCTGTGACAAACCTCCTACCCTCCAGCTTCGTCGACTGCCTCTTTCCCACTACACCTCCTCTTTGGTCTCATACAGACCTCAGAGATCTTGACCCTTTGGTTTCTGCTCAGCGCCAGGAGTCCCTTTCTGGCCACGCCCACTTCCCCTAGGGTCCACCCACAACTTGCACTGCCTTTCCCGCTGTACTCTCAACCCTCTTCCTGCCTTACAGCTCCCAGGCTGACTCAGTTCCACAGCTGTCTGCCTCCTCCAGCCCTTTGAGTTCTTCTCCCCTTATTATCAGCGGATGACCTGGCCTCCTAATCACTGCCATGATAAAACCAGCTAGCTGACATTTGTTGAGGACTTCGTCCATGCCACGCAGTGTTCTAAGTACCTTCTGCGTATTAGCTGAGTTAATCCTTCTAACAAGCCTGCAAGGTAGGTACTGTAGTTATTCCCATTGCAGAAATGTGGCAACTCAGGCACCGAGAGACTTAAGGAACGTGGCACTCAGAATGCTGGAGCCAGGATTCAAACCCATAGATCCCTCACTCTCATTCAGAATCAGATACAGAATTAAATGGAAGAAAAAGCAAATGGCAAAAGAGTGTCATTGACCCTGTTTGAGCCACAAAGAAATCATTTGTTAGCAGTGAACAGTTTTTCAGAGGGGTCAGGCTGTGGAAGACTTCCACTTCTACGTGATTACTCCCACTTCCATTTAGCCACTTTTTGTTCCTTGGAAATACACCTGTTCCCCCCCCCCCAACACGTTTACTTCAAAGAGTTTGCAGAAAACAGAATTTTGGTTTGATATTGAGTTGATTCACAATATACAGTGTATTTTGATGCACAAAAAAATTTTTTTTGAAAGCCACGCATTTGAGGCTCTTCAAAACGTTCATGGGGAAAAAAAGTTGAAAATTTAAAAACAGGATAAAAGTTTTTGATTTTTAAAGGGTCATAGAAAATGCATATGATACTAAAAAAAACTATGCATGGATTTCAATAACTCTTGGTACTCATCTTCTCATCTCATTTTCCCACACACGTTTTGAAGTACCCTCTTCCTTCCAGGCCTCACACTGCTCTTCCCTCTGACTAGAACTCTTTCCCCTTGCCCTGCCCCATCTTTTGAGAAACGCCCCTGCACGCAGTGACACACCCCCGCCCCACCCCGCTCCTTTCTAGCCACAAAAATACTTTTCTCCGATTTTAGGTTTCCTGTCCTAATTGTCTATGCCTAGCCTGTCTTCTAAGTGTGAGTGACTTGAGGACAGAGACCGCTCCTGCTGCCCAGCATGGCATGGGGCGCACCGGTAAATGCTTGTCAATGCAATAGACTCTGCTCGCCCCCCCCCCCCTACTTCTTCCGGGAAGCTGTCCTCACCTCTAGGAACCAGGTCCCTGCGTTGAGCCTCTGCAGTTCAGCCCAGGAGAAGTCACTGCTGTGGGCTGTGACTCGGCTCGGGAACACGGAAGCTACATCTGTGGTCCTGCTTAGCTGCTCATCATGCATGAGGAAGGGGACCCCGTCGGAGCTGAGGGCACAAGGGGCTGTCAGGGCGCCAGGCTCTGGGGTTGCTCATCTGCCCCTTTATAATTTGTTCTTTCCATTTCAAAGACAAAGAGGGAGGGAGGGAGGGAGAGAGACAGACAGACAGACAGACACAGAGAGATCTCCCATCTGCTGGTTCACTCTCCAGATGGCCACAACAGCCAGGACTGGGCCAGGCTGGGAACACTCTAGCCAGGTCTCCCACGTGGGTGGCAGAGACCCATCTACCCGAGCCATCACCGCTGCCTCCCAGGGTCTGCATTAGCAGGAAGCTGGAGTCGGGAGCCAGAGCCAGGTGCTGAACCCAGGCACTCGGATATGGAGCACAAGCATCTCAACCACTAGGCTAAACGGCCACCCCTGCTCCTCCTGTACTGAGCTCCCACCCCGTGTCCCCCAGTGCTCAGACCCCCAGCCTGTGTCACCTGACCATCACATCCGTCTCGAACACAGCAGCTCCACATTCCGCTGTCTTCCGCAGGGACATCAGGGTGTTCTCAGGGGCCAGCTGGGAAAGCGACGCAGTAAGGAGGGTGCCAGGGAAGGGTGGGAGCCTGGGAACCCACAGGCCTGGCTGTCGCAGGCAGGAGAAGGGGCAGCAACCTGCCCAACACTCACCATGGGCGCCCCTCGGTGCCCCACCAGCCCAGGCTTGCGGGGTAAGTCTCTAGGCTCCATGATGCAGGGGGCAGAGATGCACAGGGGTACCAGGTAGATGACCAGGGCAACTCCGCAAAATAGGAGCAGTAGCAGAATCTTGGGACCTGTTGGGGGGTGGGGGACAGGGTTTGAGAAAGGGCAATGGGGGGGGGGCTCTGGGTGCAGAAGGCAGAGTACAGATGCAGGCAAGCAGGTGAGCCGCGGGAGGCAGAAGCACAGGTGGCCGGGGAGCGGGGCGGCGGGGCAGAGTTGGCACCTTTCCGGTCCATACGGTAGAAGGTATCAGCCACAGGCCAGGCCAGGAGGGTGATCCCCGCGACTGCTCCGATGTGAAGGAATGGGGCTGTGGCCTGTGGACAAGAGCTGGTGAGGAGGAGGGCTCTTCCCCGTGCTCCTCCCTCTCAGGGCCTGGCTCCTGGAGTTTGGAGCTGCCTGCAGTCTTGGGGGAACCAGGGAGCAAGACATGTCCTGGGTTGGCCACACGCGGAACTTTCTCCTAGGCCTTGGAGCTCGTCCACTCACCTGCAGTGACAGCCGTAAGCTGTGCCACTCCTGCCGCCACTGGATGTCTAGTCCCACGAAGCCAGCGGCCACAAGCAGCATAATGAGGAACAGTAGCACCTGAGAGGCCAGGGACCAATGAACGTGGTTAGCGGTGGCATGCGGGTGGGGGGGGTGTATCTCCTCACTCTATGGAGACAGGACCCTCCCCTTCCAGTGACGCATCATTTCCCTTCTTGCACTCAAGAAATATTTACTGGCCTTGCAGTCCTGGGCTTGACTCCAGGGATATAAAAGAGGTCCTGAGCAAAGAGGCAGCCAAGTGTGCTGCCCAGTGACCTCCCCTCCTGCTCTCCCCTCCCCCCCACCTCGTACCTTGTGGACACGGTGCAGGTGCAGGGGCTGTCCACAAAGCTGCAGGACCAGGGCCAAGAGCTGGGGGCAGAGTGGTGGAGGGGGGTGATGTCACTGCGGAGGATGGCTGTCCGGCATGGCACCTCCCTCGAACCCCCCCCCCCCATTTAGCTTCGTCCCCTCCCCATGGCTGGGGTGAGAAACAAGGGGGAGGGGCTGAAGTAGAGGGTATTCCAGCAGCAGCCCCTGGACCTACCAGTAGCAGGGACGCGTAGGTGACCAGTAGAGAGATGACCAGCAGGAGTGCCAGGGACCAGTCCATCCAGTGTCCCCAGTGGCGGAACAGGAATCTGAGGGAGGTGGAGAGGGGGGTGTATCAGTGGGGGGAGAAGAGGAGTTGGGAGGGTGGATCCAGGGGTGGGGGCTGGGCTAGTAGATCCAGGAGGACTACAAGGAGGCTCATGGGAAAGTCTTTCCGAGGACGGGGATGTTTCCTGGAGGGCTTTTCTAAGGCCTGAGGCCCTGAACGCCCAGGGGTCCCAGGGCAGGGCGTTGGCAGATAGGTATGCTGAGGAAGGGGTGGGGTGGAGGCGGGGCTCCGTGACACACTCATTGAAGTTGTGCAGGTCATTGAGAAGGATGAGCCCGATGTACAGCCAGCCCAGGCACAGGAGGAAGGTGAGGAAGAGCAGGCCAAACCAGACACAGTCGCACTGCAAAGGGGGCAGGAGAAACGCTCACAGCCCAGGCCCATTGCACACCCACAGTGCCACCCAAGGATGGCAGCTCCAGCCAGAGCTTCCTGCCCAAGCGAGGGACTGCTCTGCTCTGGGGGCCAGTGCTTCCCGTGGCTGAGGGCCAATGGCTTCCTGGGAAGAGAAAGCCCCTCCAACCTCCCCCCACCCCACCCCTCCTCCCAGCCGCCTCTGAACACAGCCGGCCTCCTGGTCCCCTCGGTGGGCCTCTGCCTCCCGCCCTCCAGCCTCCCTGCTCCGCTCGCTCCGGCAGAACTCCACCTTGCTGGTTTGCATCCTCTCTTTGGGGCACTTCCGCCAGTGGCAGCTATACAGGCAGTGGAGGCACCGGGTCCAGGCGGAGCGGCAGCCAGGGGACTCGGCCATGGCGAAGGCCTGGGGGAAGGGACACTGGGCCATTGGGGACGCTGGCAGAGGGCAGATCCCAGCCTCCCTCCCAGTGTATCTGAGGAGCCCGAGGGAGGGGCAGAAGCCTGGGATGCTGCTCAGCAACGGAGGAGGCCACGGGCAGGCCCCAGGAGGCTGGGTCAGAGGAAGGGGGACGATTGCTGGGCTCTTTCTCTCCCTTTATTCTCGGTACCTGGAAAGTGCGTGGGACACCTGGAGGTGCAGCCTCTTTGCAGGCAGAACGCATACCCAGTCTCTCCAGCTCCTCCCCACTTCCTTCCAATTCCTAGCCCTGGGGCTGGGGTGCCTGTCCAGGGTGGAAACTGGGGAGAAGCTGCCCCGGGGTGGGACCAACTCTGTCCAGCCAGTTGAGGCAGATCTGGCCTAGCTGGAGGTGCTTGCCCTAGGTGGAGTTGCCTTCCACCCCAGGGAGCAGGAGTAACCTGAAGCAGAGGCTCCAGTTTTGACCTGGGGCTATGGGAGGCCTAACTAGTTGGCCAGTTGCTATGGATACCGAGATTGCACAAATCACAAAGCCCTGACTGAAAGATTCTCCGTGTCCACTCCCCAGAGGGCAGGGGGCACTGGTGGCCTGAATCACTCCGGAAGGCTTGTTCTTCCCCCTTCTTACCCCCGACACCCCCTCAAACACACCTGCAAAGCCAACCCCAGTCTTGTCCTTTCCTGCCCAGTCGACTCCCCCCCCTCCAGCTAGAAGCCCAGGCCCCGCCCTCCCCGTTCCAAGGGCCCCACCCTCAGAGTTAAGCTTTGGTGAAAGTATAACACATGCAGGGCAAAGGTATGTGTGTGTGTGTGTGTGTGGTGTGGTTGTCTTGGGGCAGCGGATCCCTGTACCTTGTGCTTCTGGGGCTGGCTGAGAGACCAAGCTGACCGCCAGGCTGGGTGGCTGTGTGGCTGACCCTCCTTGAGGGCGCTCGTGTGTACTAGCCGCTGTCACTGTGAATGGGTTTCTGGAAGACTGTGAGTATGTAAAGGAGCCCCTGGTAGACAGAGAGAGAGAGAGAGAGACAGAGAAAGAGAGAGACAGAGAGGTGTCCAGGGGATCCAGCCCCAGCTGCCCCGACTCTGCACAGTCCTGGGGAGGTGCACAGTGGCTGGATCCCTGCAAGGAGGAAGGGTCTGGCTGTTTCTGGACCTGCCCTCCTATTCTATGATTCTATGCTTGCCTTGGGAAAGGGGTGTTGAGGTAGGGGTGGAGGAGTGTGTGTTGAGGGGGCTAGGGCTGGGGGCTAGGAAACCTCTCTTCTCCCTGAGACCCTACCCAGAAAAAGTCAGTGCAAAGGGAGCCCCCTGCCTCTGCCCTTCCTGGGACAGGCTCGCTGTAGCCTATTCTGTGCCCCAGTCTGTACCACTTGCCTCCCCCTGCACCCCAAACACTGCTTCTCAGAGTCCCACCTCCCTCCAGGAACCATCTGGAGGATGGGATGAGGATCTGAGCAGCCTGAACACCCCAGGTTAGGGGGGAGAAGCTGCCAGGGGTGCCGCTCAATTCCCTGGACCCAGTCCCCGCCGTGTGGAGCCTGTCTCCGCCCCGTGGCTCCCGCCTGTCGTCCCCAGCCTTCCGGGACCCTCACACCTTTTTTCAGCCGCAGCTCTGCTCTCTGCTCTGCACTGCTTCCCAGCTCCTCTGCGAGTTGTCTGCCTCCTCCCTCTTCCAGTTCTTGACTCAGCCCCACCGGTCAAACAGGTGGCACGGTTGCCACCTACAGGAGAATGTGCCGGTCCTGTGTTGCAGGCGTGCTACTGCTCCGTGGCCTGGGCCCCGTCCGGGTGGGAAGACGGGAGGGAGGGAGGGAGGGGGAGGGAGAGCAGCTCTGCTTCTTTCCTCGCTGGCGGTCAGGGGGCTAGGGGTAAGGAATTCCTTTGTGCAGCTTTCCCCATCCCTCTGTCCCTCCTCCTGTTCCCCTCCCAGTCACTGCTGGGGCTTTGTCCAGGCTCAGGGAGGCGAGGGCTGAGGGCACAGGCGGGCGGGAAGCTGGGGGTGGGGTGGGGTGGGGAGGTGACCACACAACTTTGCAACTTGGCAGTGAGGAGAAGGGGCCCTGCCAGCCCCCTGGAAAGGAGTGTGAGTGTGTGAGTGTGAGCGTGTGTGTGTGTGTGTGTGTGTGTGTGTGTGTGTGTCTAGTTTCTAGTCTCAAGCTCCCTGGGAGGGACAGCCTTGATTCATCAGCTTCCCTTTCCTCTTGGGCTTCCTCTACCACTTCTACAAGGTGCACCTTCGAGATGTAGTTACGTACTTTCTTGAACTTTGGCGGCAGGTCGCCCTGCCCCTGGAGCAGGGATCCCCAGGGGTCTTGTGGCTCTTGGGGGACACGAGTAGCCCTCCACTTCTCCCATCACCCCAGATGGGAGATGCTCACTCAGGACCTGCTGGGACTTGGCGTCCTTTCCAAGGTAGTCTGAGGTCTCCCTCTAAGAAGCATATGAGGAATGTATAGTGCGTTAGGGTCACAGTGTTTGGGAAGGTGAACAGGTACAGAAGATGCCGTTACTGTGGCCTCGGTAGGAGCGGGCTGGCTGGCAAGCTGTAGTCAGTTTAGCTTTCAAGGCCAGGGGTCCATGTGGGCTGGGGTCCCGAGGCTGGCTTGACTGTGCCTTTCTACATTGCCATTGCTGCAGGCACTCCAGGTCTGGGGGCTAGCCTGGCATGGTGGTGGTGGGAAAGGCGTCTTGTCTGGGGGAATAACCCTCTGTGCCCCTCCCCCCAGGCGCACTGGATTTCCACCAGTGAGAAGGAAGACTGGCTCTCTTATGACAAGAGCCAGCCCCCTCCCTCTCCGCCCTTCCCATTGTATCCAGAGGCTCTAGTTGGCAATGGAGGAGGCGCCCGTGCTCCCTCGGAATTAAAATGCACAGAGAAGCAGGGCTGCTCGCTGGCAGAGGGCCAGGGAGGGCCGGCAGGTCACCCAGTCCTCCGCAGGCTTTATTCTAGCCAGGTTCTTGTTTCATTTGCTTTGCTTGGGCTGTGGTGGAGTCTACAAGAGTTCTTGGGAGGGGGGTGGTTTGGGAGCTCTTTTACGGGGGGAGGACGCTGGGATTCAGAAGGCATGGCTCTTCAGAAGGCTCCAAGTGCAGTGTGTGTGTGTGTGTGTGTGTGTGTGTGTGTGTGTGGTGGGGAGCACTGTAGGCCAGGCCTCCTTTTGGCTTTAAGCAGGGCTGGAAAACCCTGGTGCATAGTTGAGGAGCAAGGCTCACGGCTCTGGTTTGCTTTTGAAGGAGAAAGCGAGGAACCAGTGCTGTTCTGTCCTGGGACTGAACAGCAGTATGGTCCCAAATCCATCTAGGCTGAGAAATTAGGCTGCATGCAAGACATTAGGAAGGGCCACTGCTGACCGGTGCCGCTGCTCAATAGGCTAATCCTCCACCTGCAGCGCCAGCACCCCGGGTTATAGTCCCGGTTGCTCCTCTTCCAGTCCAGCTCTCTGCTGTGGCCTGGGAGTGCAGTGGAGGATGGCCCAAGCGCTTGGGCCCTGCACCCGCATGGGAGACCAGGAGAGGTACCTGGCTCCTGGCCCCTGATCAGCGTGGTGCGCCGGCCGCAGCGGCCATTGCGGGGTGAACCAACAGAAAATGAAGACCTTTCTGTCTCTCTTCTCTCTCACTGTCCACTCTGCCTGTCCGCCCCCCCCCCACCAAAAAAAAAAAGATAAGAAAAAGAAAAAAAGGAAGGGCCACTGCTGCCACTTCAGAGCTTTGCTGTTAGACCTGGGTTCAAGTTCTAGCTCTATTACTTGAACTTTGGACCTTAGTCTCATCTGCAAGATAAGGACACCTATCTAGTTGACCTTTATTTGTGTGGAGCAAATAAAATTGTGGCAAGAACATGAAGATGCTTAGGAAATGTGGTTTCTCCCTTCCAAATCTGGACACCAAGGCAGGTTCCACAGTAGAGATCAGGCCTTTGGCCTGGTGAGGATTGTTCCCATTTCTCAGAGTAGCAAAGCAACATAAAGACAACACCCTGCTGCACTCTAGCCTCTGGGAAACCAGGGCAAGCTTTAAGAAAGCAGGAAGGGGCTGATATAGGAGGTTAGGCTGCCACCTGTGACACCAGCAACCCATATGGGCACCGGTTCAAGTTCTGGCTGCTCCACTTCCAATCCAGCTCCCTGCTCATGGCCTAGGAAAAGCAGTAGAAGTTGGCTTAAGTGCTTGGGCCCCCGCTACCCATGTGGGAAACCCAGATGAACCTCCAGGCTCCTGGATTTGACCCAGTTGAGCCCTGGCCATTGCAGCCACTTGGGGAATGAACCAGCAAATGGAAGCTCCGCCTCTCTCTGTCTCTCTCCCCCCTCTGTAACTCTTTCAAATAAACAAATCTTACAAAGTGGCAGGGAGGGCAGGTCCTTGCAGTGAGCCTCCCTAACAGCTCTCCCAGGGGCCAAGGAGCAGGGGTTGGGATTGGATCCCCGCCATCCCCCACGCCGCCCATAGCACAGAAGGATCTTCCAAGACAGTAGATATGCTAATGTTTATTTCTTTACTTAACATTTAAAAAGATTTCATTGACATCAGTAACACAGCAGACACTTAAAATACAGGGGGCACAGGGCAGGGCAGGAGAGATCCCAGTTCCATTCCTGAGGTGGGGCCAAAGATCCGAGCCAGGCTTCTCCTACTCAGCTGGGACAACCCAGAGAGAAAAAGATCCGCAGTCTCCTCCTCAGCTCGGGACATCCTTCACTGCTCACAGAAAGAGCTGGACTGTCCCGGGGACTGGCTCCCGAGGTGCCGTTTGGCAGGTGGGCTGGTTTTCTCTTCAGCAGGTGGCGTGGCACCTTCTGGAGAAGACAGAGTAGTCACTTGGGGCTGGAGGCTGAGGTCCAAAGCAACAAAGGTTCCGTCCCTTTGCCCAACAGAAACCTGAAATCTAGGGAAGTCACTAAAAACGACACGACACACACACACTTCTGGCTGCAATCCGAAAGCATCTTCCATCGCCAGAGTGCAGGTCGAGATGACGACTCCGACTTCAGTGGGTCTCCTCTTCGATAGGGGAGTAGCCAGAGAAGAAGCTGGTGTTGCTGGCCAGAGTGCGTTTCTTTTTCTTCCCTGGAGCCTTAGTCTCTTGGGATTCTCTTGCTACTTGTTTCAACTCTGGGAGGTCGAAGGACAGAACCGGAACGGTCGACTTGGCCGGGACCTGCTCCTCCTCATACATCTCCTTAATGATCTAGGGAAGACAGAGAGGGATGGACAGACCTTGGAAAGGGGCGGTTGTGCAGCTTGTGTGCTTAACTCTCTCCTACCCAGTAGTACCTGGGGTCCCCTCAGATTGCTCCACGGAGAAATACTCCAGTCTGTGCCCGATTCCCAGCAAGCTGATTCTATCTTTCCCCTCCACACCCGGTCCGTTTCTCTTTCTCCCACTAGTCCCAGTCCCAGCTAATGCGGAGAAGGCCCTAATAAGGTTTCTCGGCACCTGCTCTTTGGCTCGCCTACCTTGCTGTTAGGAGTGGCACAGACAGGGTTGAAGAAGCTCAATCCTGGTGTCACCTCTGTGGGATCCTCCAGTCTGGAGGAGCCTTCGGAATCGCGAGTCCGCTCAACAGCACCCAAGCTATCCTGAATGTCAAGCAGAGAGGCGTCTCATAAATGTGGCTACCAGGGTCACGAGACCAGTGTGCTCCCCTTTATCCGGTGAGATGCCACCTCCGAGGGACAGATCAGTCGGTCTGAGCAAGTTTTTGGGGTACCCTGCTTGGGAGGCGGCAGTGCTTGCCATGCTCTGTCCCCGTAGGAATGGAGCAAAGCTTGGAGGCAGCCCCTGAAGGCAAAGGACTGGGCAGGCTGATGGCACAGGGCACACCATGAGGCAGTGTTTAGAACAAAGCCAGCCCTGGTTGTTTCTTCGATTAAGCTTCCCCTCTCTACCATGTGCAATATTCTTGGCAGCACCCTCGGTGCCCATCTCCTGTTAGTCTTCTTTCCAGATAAGGAAACCGAGACAGAGAAGTTGCTTAGCTAGCAAGCTGACTCTGCGGGAGAGCTTGGATTAAAATGTTAGCCTGTAATCTGATCTCAGTTGTAATGCTCAGCTGTATACCATCAAGGGCACTCACGGTGGCTTATCTCTGGCCTTGGCTTTCCTTCTCTGTTAAATGGAAGCACTGGACCAGATCAGTGCCTTACACAACTGAAATGCTCAGAGGAAGTCCAGTACAAGGAGTCTCCAAAAAGTTCATGGAAAATAGCATATTATGAAAAAAAAATTATAAATGGGTTGCAAAAAAGCTTTTGTGCCAGAATAAACTCATCTTCTTTTAAAAAGATTTATTTTCTAAGTCAGAGTTACTTACAGAGAGGGAGAGACAGAGATCTTCCATCTGCTGGTTCACCCCTACGATGGTCGTAACTGCCAGCAGTGGGCCAGGCCAAAGCCAGGAGCCAGGAGCTTCCTCTGAGTCTTCCACATGGGTCCAGGGGCCCAAGGATTTGGGCAATCCTCTACTGCTCTCTAGCTCCCTGCTAGTGCGCCTGGGAAAGCAGCAGAAGATGGCGCAAGTCCTCGGACTCCTGTACCCATGTAGGAGATCCAGATGGAGTTCCTACTTCTTGGCTCTGGCTTGGTCCAGCCCCAGGCATTGCGGCCATTTGGGGAGTGAATCAGCAGATGGAAGACCTCTTTCTCCTCCCCGCCCTGACCCCCATGTCATTTTGCCTCTCAAAGAAAGAAGATAAATCTTGAAAGAAAGTTTTTTGTCTAAACTTTCTGAAGTACTCCCAGATAAGGAGGCCAGCTCTAGTCAACTTGGTGACTATCAGAAAGATCTGGCCCTGTGGGTATTTACCTTAGAGCCATGGAAAAGCTGGTCCC